GGGTCTGTCTACAGGAGGAAGGGGGCTGGCACTGGGGATCTACAACAGTGGCCACAGGGACCCAACCCAGGGACGTTGCCTGGAGAAAGCCCATTCACACAACATCACAACATGCTGTGTGCTCTGCAGAAGGTTTCCCCACCTCTCTGAGCCTCAGGCTCCTTACCTGTCCAAGAAGATTCTATAACATGTGTCCGAACAACCTCGCAGCAGTGAGAAAACGGAAGTGAGGCGAGAAAAATGCCTCTTCCCTGAGTATCTGCTAAACGGCACCCGCGGTCACCTTTCCAACGCCATGAGGAAGGCGACACCCACGGAAGTGCAGTGACTAGTCCACAGTCACCGCCTGGGAGAGGCGGCCGTCACACACTCCATTCGCCCCCTCCGAGGCTGTTCCTTGCAGCATTACACTTACACCAAGCGCTTGCGATGCACGGCTCTACCCTAAGCGACTCACCCACAGGAGCTCGAGAATCCCCGCCACCACCCTGTAAGGTAAGTGCTGCTATTAGTTTTATGAACGAGAAGACTAGGGCTCCTCAGGGAACTTGCTTGTTTCCCAGCCCATAAGGGACAGGGCAGCTGAGACTGGAAGCCAGTCCCCTCGCTGTCAGCGCTCAGAGAGGTTGGAGACAGCCCGGGGCACAGGCCCGTGAGCGCGGGCCTGGGTTAATCTCACGTTGTGTCCACACCATGAACCACTCCGCGCCTACGGAGACGGATGATCTAAACCTACCACACGTTACCACATGAATAAATCTTGGAAACATAACGTTGAGAGGAAAGAACAGTCACTATCTAGGGTAATCGCGTCTAGGCAAAGTGTAGAAACAAGGCTAGGTAACATTTACCGATATTCACAAATGTCGTAAAAGTAAAAAGATAAAAGATACACGGCAGGGGAAGGAAAGGGAAGGGTTTGGGGGCTGGGGGTCGGGGTTCACAGCACCGTATCTGTAACAGTTTATTTCCTCTAAAAGAAAGGCCTGAAGCCAGAAACAAACTGTTAAAGGGAAAATCACAGGCCCCAAACGGCGTTACTCGCGCCAAAAGCCCACAGTACCAAACCTAGATTTAATACCTGATCTAATTGCAGTTTCTGCCTCTCCCAGGAACAGAATCTTAATCACCCAGTCTGGAATTTTCTGGTCAACACCAATGAGGTCATCTGTCATGTGGGCCCTCTCCATCCCTCCCCCACCTCCACCCTAGAAAGAAGAGGTCATCTCCATGATATAAACCCTTCCCCTTCTCTTCCCTCCCCCAAAAAATGTCCCAGCCCCCAAATAATCTTCTCTTCTGTTAATAGCTCCCTTGCTCCACCCTTCGCCCTATAAAAACTTCCACTTTGTACAGCCCTCAGGGGAGCGTCCTTCTAGTTGCTGCATGGGATGCTGCCAGATTCATGAACTGCTTTTTTATTTTATTTTTATGAATCACTTTTAAAGCCAATAAGATCTTCAGATTTACTGGGCTTAATTAGGTTTTGCGACAGAACAAGTGTGCTTTGAAAATGTGAATGAAAAGAAGGCTGTGTAATAAACCTGACAAGCTCATGGGAGACGCATGGCAGGCCTGACAAGCTCAGTGACCCAAAGTAGCCACACCGGATGGTCCGATCACAAATTCCTAGCTGGGCCGGTCGTCACGGCCCAGGCCCAGAGCTTCCTTCGCAGAGCCCGTCTCTACCATAAGTGCGCCCTGCCCGTGGCTCGTAGGCATCTAGGGGAACATCCCTTTGCAACGTCAGAGTAATTTTCTTTTCTAGACCCCTCAGGGCACAACCGCAGGCACCAGAGCACAAGACCACAGACCCCTCAGTGTTGCCTTGTACCCAACACACCATCTCTACACGCTGTAAATGTTCCTTCTGAATGACCCTGTACCCACCAATGTGAAAGAAGTATGCTTCCCCATGTTGCTTTTCACCCAGGCCACGGGTCTCCCCGCTTTGCTCTCTCCCGCCTCCTTCGCCCACCAGCAGTGGCTTTCCTGCACCCTCCTGGCGTCTTCTCTTTGACTCTAATGTATAAAATCAGCGGCAAAACTGCCATTCTCAACGGAGCGTTTGAGAGCTTGCCCCCCCCCCCATATGTCCTCAGTTTGACACAGGCTCATAAAAACCTGCTNCAGCGTTTGAGAGCTTGCCCCCCCCCATATGTCCTCAGTTTGACACAGGCTCATAAAAACCTGCTACCGGTGTGAATGTCCTTCGTTGACAAAAAGTATAAAAAAACAGAATCACATTGAGCACCCTAAGCAGACTACAAGGCTCTCAAGCGTCCCTTACGAAGAGTGGGTGCACCGGAGAAGCCCCACCCCATGCCTTAGCATACCCGCACCCCAACAGTCACTCAATGCAAACAGCTCAGGCCTCTCCCCTTCCCCCCAGTTCCACACGGTACCCAGAGGGAGTGTCATCCAGTGCCCATCGGACCGACCACGTCCCGCCCTGGCTCAGAAGCCCCCTTGGCACCCCGGGGCCCTGAGGAGCGAGCCCTGCCTCCTTTCTGTTCATGTTGACCCTCCCACCCAGGCTCCCGACCGGGCCGCCTCGCCTCCTCCCATCCCGCAGACTCCCCGCGTTCCCCTCGCCTGCGACAGGTTCCTCACCGGGCCCCAGTCACCCTCGGCCTCGCAGCTTGGGGGTGATGCTGACATCTAGTGGTCAGAGGCCGGGTGCTGCTCAGATTCTCGGCACTGCCTTAGAGCCAAGGTGGCTGCTAGATGCTTTTTATTTTATTTTTTTAACATGCTCTAGACCGAGGCANGGGGAACAGGAACGGGAACTGGGTGGTGACTCGAGCAGACCCCAGCCCCGTCCTCGTGAAGTTTGTTGGGAAGGAGGGCGGACAGATTGTGACCTGTTACAATACATGTGCAAGGAAGGTGAGGGGTCCATGGGGGGCCTGATGGGGAGACGAACTCTACGAAGATGGACCGAGTCGATGGCAATAATGATGAATATAAAGTGGCTACTCATGGTCTAAAAGAAAAACACTGCTGGATGAGTGAAAACAGTTAAAGTAATTACTATGCGGGGCTCCCCCACGCGCCCCTGGGAGCAGCCGCGTGAGAGGGAGCCCGGGTGGTCAGCCAAACCAGCCACTCAGGGGGAAAGGGGTTGTAATTCAGGCAAGAAACAGACTCAGAGAGGTTGGGCCGTCTGCCCAAGGTCACACAGCTAAGTAGCTGCAGAGCCCTTAACATTCAGTGAGGCCTCAGTTGTCCTACCCGTTGCCCATATCTTCTGGTTCTCTCTGTCTCTGTCTCTGNTTGTCCCGCGGCAGCCAGGCGCCTGGCTCTGGACCCCGCACTTCGCCTCCAGGTGGGGGCTCCTGCTCCACGCCCGGGTGCCCGGCGCTCCGAGAGCACCGCGGGCAGCTGGTGAAGGCACCCCCTGGGAAGAGTTGGGGTTTCTGTCTCACCCTAAGGCGGGGTCCCGAGCCCGCCCCNTGTCTCTCTGTCTCTGTCTCTGTCTCTCTATCTCTGTCTCTCTGTCTCTCTGTCTCTCTGTCTCTGTCTCTCTGTCTCTNGGGCCCCACGGGGATGGCCCCCTCCTCAAGGAGGCGGCAGTTCTGCCGGGGCTGAGCCATGGGTGGACCTCAGAAGATGGAGAGGTCAGCACAGGATCACGGCCACGGCCACGAGGGCAGGTTGGGCTCAGCAGACGTCTCCTTCCCGAGCCAGGGGCTCCTGGGGCCTCGAGGACCACCTCGGAGGGGGAGGGGTTGGGGGGACANTCTGTCTCTCTCACACACACAGGCAGCACCCCAGCTCCCACTGGGGATAAAAGTTACTGCAGCGGACCAGTTGCAAGTCACACTTTATTCAGTCGCCAAGAGGTCTGGGGGGGATCCTGGGCAGCAGGCCAGGCCCCTAGGGAGGAAACGGGGGGCATTAGTTGGAGGGGTGGAAGGCACCCCGTTGGTGCCACTGCATGTCACGGATGCGGCGCACAGACTGCACCTGGGGGTGGGGGGCCCCAAAGTCACTGCTTTCCTTATAATCTCCCTTCTCCAACAGGTACTGCAGCCCGCGGTAGCCAGGGTACTGGTAGCCGACCCACCTGCAGGGCCAGAGGGGGGGCATGGGGAGACAGAAGGGGAAACAGATGAAAAGGGGGACAGAGGGAGAGAGGGGGAGAGAGAGAATATCCTTAAGCCACTAGGAAGGGTGGAGCCTCCCAGTCCTCACCCTTTAGAAACTAGCCTTTGCTTTCTTCCTTCTCCTGACGGGAAGCTCACTACCTCATGAAGCAACTTTTGACTGAAGGCCTCATACTGGGATCAGAGGAAGGGGTGATCTCAAGTTCACTTAATCTTAGAACAAGACAGGCCTCTTATCCCAATCCCAAGCCCAGCTGCAAGGCTGAGAGAGAACTAGATAGGTCTGGAAAGGTCCCAGGAGCCTTCTGTACTCCCTTTGCCCGCCACCTGAAGCTGTCACTGTTAAGGGGTCACTCACTCTCTTCAGTACCTGATGAAAGTCAGTCTTCTCCCCAGAAAATGCCACACAGCCCTGGCCCGCATGGACCTGCCTTGCTGGCCTCTGAGCTCTGCTGCTCAGCCTCAGGTCCCCACAAGCCTGCCCTCTTGCTGCTCTGGCCTCTGCAGAGCCCCTCGCACTCACCAGGGGTCCCTCTTGACCCCCACAATCCCTGTTCTTGTTTGAGGTTCTCAGCTCGAGTCCCTTCCTCAGGGAAGAAGTCTAGATGGGTGTGATTCTTAAACGATTTACAGTTGTCCCCAAGTAGACTGTCAGCTACACAAGGAGAAGCCAGGCCTCTAACACAGTAGGACACTCGGCACATTGAATCAGTGAATGAATCCACGAGTGAGTGAAGGGGACCGTGAACACAGAACTTTGCATGCTCTGTGTTGGTAAACTACCCCCCTTGGAGGAACAAAGTCTTGATTTGTAGCATTTTCCAATTTCCCTGGTGTAAATTCTCCCACAATGGCTGATTACAAGTACCAATGACTCAACCACCTGCTTATGAAAATTCTGAAAAGTTAAGAGTCAGCTCTTGCCAGCTGGCGCAAGCTGGCCACAGCACGCCACTGCCGGAAGCCCATCTGGGGACCCCCATGAAATCCAAACTTGTCACTGTGGAAAAACTCCCAAATGCTGATGACGAAGGTTTATGTGCCAAAGATGTTTAACTTGGTGGGAAATGACATGTTTTACCCAACTCAGGAATTCATGCATTAAAAGGCCAGCACAGTCTGCTCTGGCCAGGTAGCTCAGTTGGTTAGAGCGTTGTCCCAATACACCAAGGTTGCAGGTTCAATCCCCAGCCTGGGCACATCTAAGAATCAACCAATGAATGCGTAAATATGTGGAACGACAAATCGATGCCCCTCTCCCTCTCTAAAATAAGTTTTAAAAGGCCAGCAAGGGCTGGACTTCCTGCCTCTCACAGCTTTGTAAGACCACTCAACTCACCCCAGCTCTTCTGCTCCCCCCGTCTCTGCCTCACCTGCCTCCCCACCAACAGGAACCTTGGGGCTGAGGTTAAGGCCAAGGCCTGTCCCTCCAAAGGTAGGTCACTGCCCCAAAGGCGGGTCTGGATGGAACTTCAGGGCCGGCAGCCACCACGCGTGGGCGGATGGCATCCACACCCAGTTCCCCGCGTGAAGACTGAGGTTGGGAGTTTGCGGGGCACCAGCGTTCAGGGCGGAGCGGGGCTTAGGACCCCAGGTCCAGGCTCCTGGGGCGGGCGAGCCAGGTAGGGGTCTGTACTCACGTGCCACTCTGCACCCGCACGGAGGACACCTTTTCGTGGTAGCCGTGGGCGTGGAAGCTGGGTACATCGTCATCTATAACCTCCATCTTCCTCCCCGTGAAGTTGGGGTTCTCGTAGAGGGTGATCTTGTGCTCCTGGCTGTCCTGTTGGTGGGGAGTGGGGGCAATCAGTGCAGGAGGGGGGAACCAGGGTGAGCCCTCCCACCCATCCTCACACCTGGAGTTGGCATCAGCTGCTACGACCACAGGCCTCTGCCCGGTACCCCCCCACGTGAGTGTCTATGACAACTGCCATTGAACAGTAGCTGTTTGTTGAGATCCTATTGGGGCTAATAGCATGTAACGGACTCTCCAAATTCTCCACTTTGGGGAATATTTGATTCTGAAATGTCATTTTCCCTCCCACAGCCTCAACTTTCTTTTAAAAATAAATGACAGCCACAATCTACATACACACACGCAGCTTTATGGTGCTTCTAGGAGACATTGACATATTTTGCCTTTCCTTCATCTCCACGCCTCTCCCCAACCTTCTGTTTCCGGACATTTTTCTTAGTTATCCCCTTTAATCCTTTAAACCACTCTTATGCCATTTGGCCGATGAGGAAACTGAGGCTCAGAGAGGTAAAGTGACTTGCCCGAGGTCACACAGCGGGGAGTGCCAGAGCCAACATAGGAGCCCAGGTCTGTAGAAGGCGAAGGCCCCTCTCCACCACAACCCATCCCAGAAGTCCTTTTAATAGTTACAGTGGCCACAATGGATTGAGCAATTGCTCTGTGGCAAGAGCTGTACCACCCTGGAAATACTGTCCACACAGAATAGAACATGAACATCACCGCCCCGCCCAGACCATTTTGAAATCTTGTGAATGGAGCCCGGTGGGGTTGTGCAATGTGGCAGCTCTCAGGCCAAGCGTGGTGGGATCTCAGGACAGCAGATATGCATATTCCCATTTTACAGAGGAGAACACTGAGGCCCGGGGAGGGGAGTCCCCTGCCAATCAGAAGGGGCACACTGCTGGAGGTGAAGGCTTCTTTCTGGTCCCCAGGCCCCCTAACTCCAAGGTGACAGAGAGGAAGGATGAGGGACCAGGGGCTCACCACTTTGACGGGCCTCAGGGAGCTGAGGGAGTCGGTCCTCCGGCTGCTGGTCCATGAGTCCCAGCGGGGGTACTCGCCCTTCTCGAACACAAACTGTTCACCCTTGCAGTTGGCTTGCTCATAGCCCACCCAGCTGCAGCAGAGACAGGGCGAGAGAGAAGCTCACGCTTGCTCAGCTCATCAAGAACAGCAGCCCCGCCTAAACCCAAGTAGAGCATATCCAAGAGCAGGAACGTTCCTGCCGGGCAGAAATATCTAGACGTCTATCAAAATCTTAACAATGGTTACTTCTGAGTTGTAAGATTAGACTCATATGGGGTTTTTTTCCCCTAAGCCATTTCTTCTTAATTTTAAACAATAAACAAGAATTAATTTAAAAAAATTAAAAACTATGCTTTTAAAAAGAAAGCAGAGAAGCATAAAATCCCTTTGAGAAATTCTTCCATCCAAGTACCGAAAACAGACAACTGCAGGTCATCGGATGCAGCACTTAAACGGCCAGGAGGCCGGCTCTCAGGCTCCCTAGACACCCTGAGCATGGCAGGGCCGCTCCTTGGCTGTGTCGTCCCCATCAGCAGACTCTGATTACAGTAGGGACGTTGGACTCTGCAAAAGTCCCTGAGAACCTGGAGGTGTGGGCAGGTCGCCCCGGACCTACCTCCAGCCACACAGACTCACTGATCTGTGGGGTGGGGGTCACAGGTGGCCCCTGAGGCTCTTTCAGAGAAAGAGTGGCCAGGGGACCACGAAGAGAGGCCCGGCAGGCTGGGCTCAGCTATATGACATGACAGAGCAGCCACATCCTACTAATCCCCCAGGCCTGCTGACCCCCGAATGTATCAGCGACTCTGCTAAGACCGAGTAAGGCCAGGATTCGGGAAAGGGGGTGGGTACAGAGCGGGAACAGCCAGCTTTAAGCCTCCCAGGAGAGAGGACATTCCTGGAGCCAGAGGTTGGCAGTTCTGAAAAGGCCCATGAGAGTCACCGTGACCATCTCCCTGCCTCCAGGAAGTGGCTGACCTCAGGGCCAGGCTTTCCCCACAAGCTGTCCCTTCATCCTCAGGAGGACATGGTTGTCCTGATCCTACAGAGAAGGAAACTGGGGCTCAGAGAGGGAAGCCACCCAGCCCAGAATTGGTGGAGGTAGGATTCGAACCCAGCTCTAACTGGCTCCAAAGAACACATTCTCCCAGCAGGCTGCCGGGCCCTGAATCCTGGTCCCCCGATTGCACAGCCTAGGAGCACGGTGAGAGCAGATCCTTCCAGCTTCCCAGCCCGGCCCCCCACCAGGCAAGGCCTCCCCGGTACCTACGGTCCAGCCTGCACCAGGACGGAGCCGGTTTTCTCCACGCCCGCCTCCTTCAGGTTGGGGCAGGGCCCACTGAGCTCATGCGAGTGGCCTTGGAAGTTCTCCTGCTCGAAGATGATGATCTGTAAGAGCAGGAGAAAGTCAGGCCCCGTCAGGATGGGGAGGAGGGAGGGCCGGGCAGTGGGGAGGGGACTCAGGGAAGCTTAAAGGACGCTGAGGGTTCCACCTGGGGAGTCACAAACCAAATATCAGGTCAGATAGTCCTGGCTTAGCCAGTTACCAGCTGTGAGACCTTCAGTCTCAGTTTTCCCATCTGTAGAATGGGAAGTAAAGACAGATGGAAGGATTCAGAGAAGTGTAATGTCGGCAATGCTGGCGGGGGGAGGGGGGCCTAATGACGTTAATTAAGGCACCGGAGTAGGTAAGTAGCAGAGCCGAACTTGGAGCCTGAGCCTGTCTGACACTGCGTCCACCAGAGCAGCACTTGGGAAGCTCTAACGCGTACAGAGAGCCCCTGGGATCTCGGTCAGAGGCAGTTCCAAGTCAGCAGGCCTGGGATGCGGCCCCAGAGTCGCCTTTGCAGCGAGCTCCCAGGGGAGGCCGGGCCCGCCGGTCTGCAGCGCGCAGGAGGAACAGCGAGACGCCCGGCCACACTGCCAGGGTGTGTCCTCCCGCTGGAGCTGGCCCAGGGCCACCGCCAGGCACCCCCTTCACCCCCCATCACCGGTAAAACCACACATACCCGCGCCCTTTCTGTAAGCCTCAGAGCCGCGCAGGTCTCCCTCGGGCCTCCCCCGGGGGTGCTGCTTCAGGGGCCTGCGCTTCCCTGGCCTCACCTGGTCCTCATCAGCCCCAGGCCTCAAAGCCAAGCGCTAACAGCAGGCCAGCTGCCACCTTTTATCATTCCAGAAGGCACGCGGGAGGGAGGGGCTGCCTCGGGGTGCAGCGGGCTCAGGGCCGCGGGCTCCCGGGAGGGCAGCCCTGCAATCCGCGTGGTCAGCCGGCTGTGTAAACACGCCCCTCTCTCCCAGGCCAGGGATTAGCCACATAAAGCCAGGAAGGGAGGCCCATCAGGGCTCAGAGACAAATTCCAGGGGCTCAGTTCAGCCTTTACGGTCACTGACTCGACAACAGATGGTCAGGAGACACGGGCACTGACGTCGCCTCTGCTGCATCCAGCTGTGCCACCCTAGGAAGCAGCTTGACTCTCTGAGCCTCGGCTTTCCCATCTGTGAAATGGGGGATCTCACCTGTTCTGCAGGGTTACCAGGAAGAACCAAGAGCATGGAAGCGAGAGGCCAGTTTATTATCCCCTGGCCTGGGAGGCGAGGGCTTGCGGGGCCGAGGAGAGCGGGGGATGCCGGCCTTTCCTCTCACCTGAAAGTCCTCAGAGAGCCCGGGAGCTTGGTATTATTAGTATTGTGCTTGTTTATTGACAAATGGATGCAACATTTTACACGTTTCCAACCCTTTAAACCTGCTGTCCATTAGCTACATAGTCTATCGAACAGGGGCAACTAGTCTGAATTAAGATGTGTTATCAGTATAAAATACACATGAGTTTGAAGACTTAATAGGAATAAAATAATGTAATATAGCTCCCTAATAATTTTTCTATTGATCACACATCAGGACATATTGGGTTTAATAAAATATGGTATGAAAATTCCCCGCATCTGTTTCTTTGTACTTTCTGCAGGTGGCTGCTAGGAAATGTTCGATGATATATACGGGGCCCCAGTTTTATGGCCATTGGACAGAGCTGCTCTAAATCATATCACACTGGCCTTCTCCCGGTGCCTCAGTCACCCCGCTCCCTCCGACCCCTGCGCCTCTGCATTTGCTGTGCCCTCTGCCTGGAATGCTCCCCTGCCCCTGCTCCCTGATTTCTACATGGCTGCCCCTGACTTGACCCGGGCCTCTGCTCCAATGCCACCTCCTCAGGGAGGCCCTCCCTAATTCCTTTAGCTAACACACCATTCGCGTCCACCCCAACTCTCAGGAACCCTCACTCTGTTTCTTTGCAACACTTCTCACTCCTTGAAGTCATATATTTATTGGCTTGTTTCTTGCCTGCCTTTCCTCCAGGAAGCAAGCCTCTCAAGGGACAGAATGGGGTGACAAAGGGCAGTTCCAGGATGGACGCCCTGCCCAGGGCCCCAGATGCAGAAGAGCAGAGGGCAGCCTGGGGGTAGAGGTTTGGGGCAGATTGGGTGTGACGAGCTTACACTGGGATACGATCCCGCCACCCTGGGGAGGGCGGGGAAGCAAAGGGGCACCATTAGTAGCTGGCATGGGGTGGACATGCCACAGCCAGGCGTCGGGCTGAGTCTGTGTTCTTTGCCTCTTCGCAATCACCCTATGTCATGAATTCGATTCTCTTCGTTTCATGAATGAGGGAACTGAGGCTCAGAGAGGTCAAGTGGCTGGCCCGGGTCACACAGCACTGTGGAGTCAGGACTCACACCCCATCTCCCCTGCACAGGGCCTTTCTTAGCCAGGACTGGGGATCCACCTCAGCCCTGGGGGAGCCCATGGACAATAGGATATGGGGAGAGGGGTGGTAAGGCCAAGAAACTTGTCTCCAAAGCCGGAAGCCGGTGCTGGGAATCCTGGCCTGCCAGTCGTGGGTCAGGGAGGAGCCTTGGAATCAGCCCCCAGGGTGCAAGTGGGGGACACTGAGGCCCAGGGTGGGGCAAGAGCAGAGAGAGGGGACCTAGAAAGGCGATGCCAACCCCACTCTACGGAAGGGAAACTGAGTCTGGTAGAGGCACTCTGCTGCCCCCCTGCACCCCTCCGTCATGGTACCCACCTTGGGGTTGAGGGGCTGTGGCTTGCCCGCTTGGGTCTGGTGGTCCGAGGCCATGGTGTCCCCTGCAAGAANAGGGGCTGTGGCTTGCCTGCTTGGGTCTGGTGGTCCGAGGCCATGGTGCCCCCTGCAAGAATGACCTGGAAGACATGGGGAAGCGGCAGTGAGGGCCCTCTGGGCCCTGGGCTTTCTCATCGGGGGACCTCGGGGCCGCACCCCTGTAGGCCCACCCCCTGCCTCTGTCTCCCTGGCTGCAGGTGGCCCTAGAGCTGCGGGGTCAGCAGGCAGCTGCTTCATCCTCAGCTTCACTTCTTTGCATCCAGACCAGCTCCAGAGGGAAAAACGAAATCTTCTAAAAATAACGTGGCAAGTTAGAGCTGAAGCGGGGTCTCCAGGGGGTCCCTGTCACTCAGCTCCGAACAGCTGATGCCACGCAGAATGTAGACGCATCGACACGATGCAGGGATTTCTGGACTAAAGNCCAAACCGCCATCCTCAGCTTCACTTCTTTGCATCCAGACCAGCTCCAGGGGGAAAAACGAAATCTTCTAAAAATAACGTGGCAAGTTAGAGCTGAAGCGGGGTCTCCAGGGGGTCCCTGTCACTCAGCTCCGAACAGCTGATGCCACGCAGAATGTAGACGCATCGACACGATGCAGGGATTTCTGGACTAAAGGAGAGCAGCGTGGGGCAAAGCTGAACCTTCACTGGTTTGTCTTTGCTCCTGCAAACTCAGATTCCCTTCCCCGGCCGCTGGCAAACCGCGATGCTGATGGGTGTTTAATGTTAGCAAAGAGCGTTCCCCAAGCTCCCCCCCGAGCCAGGCAGTGCCGGACCATCCCCCTACCTTATCCAAGCCCTGCAACAAAGGGCGTCTAGGACCCTTCTCCCCATTTAACAGAAGAGAAAACCGAGGCTTAGAGAGTCCAAGGCTTTGCCCAAGGTCACCTTGTCAGAAAGTAGTGGCACCTGGATTCGAACCCAGGTCTCCCACACTTTCCCTCAGGGGTGAGCCTGAGAGAAAAAGGCAAGGCGAGCGAGAGAAGCATTCTTACCAGTGACACTGGCCCCCGAGAGTGCCTGTGAGGCCCGGCCGGCGGGAGGTGGCCTTTATACCTTCCCCAGGAGCGCCGTTGCCAAGACGGGTGACCGCTGCGGCCCCGGGGAAAGCAGGGCGAGAATGGTGGATTAAGCCCGCACCAAAGCCCAGGTCAGCAAATGTCCGCAGGCATTGTGTCCCCACACAATAATGTCATTAGCTTTCAGATTTGGCCGCGCCGGGGGGTCAGGCGGCCGGGCAAGGGGATGCTCGCGTTTGCATGCATCAGCCGTCCGGCTGCCAGGGCAGGGGGCAGGCTGGGTTCACCGGATGGTCAGTCGAGCCCTGGGGGTAGACAGACAGGGGCTAAACCCAGTGGCCCTGGGTAAAAAAAGCAAGTAAAAGAGGGTGATCTGGCAGGATCCAGCATCACTCATCCATCCACCCAGTCAACAAATATTTACCAGACACCTACTTGGTGCCAAGCTCTGTCCTAGGGGGTGGTGTCAGGGAGGGGACCTGCCCCAGCCTGGACCATCCAGGACAGCTCACGGGAAGAGATGAAGTCCTCAGGGATCGGGAGAAATTAGCCTGGGAAACCAGGTTGGGACGACAGTTCCAACGAGGGCAGGGCCCGGGCCAGGCGGCCAAGGTGGGCAGGGGCAGGGCCTATAGGGTGAGGACAGTGAGCTGCATTCTGCAGGCCCCTGGGCTGTCGCAGCACCTGCTCTTCTTAAGGGGGATGCTCTCAGGACCCCAGGGCCCTGAGGTTGGGAGAAACCTCTGGGATCCCTGCTGCCAGGCCCACCACGGCCCGGTGGGCGCTTGGCCTTAACTCATGTTCCCTCGTGGCGGCAGCCTGCGTCTGGTCTGCCCAAAGATCAGGCAGGAGAGGGGACGGTGCCAGGCTTCGGAAAACTGCTCGAAGGCTCTTTCTCTCTACACCGCTTNCGTTTGAAGGCTCTTTCTCTCTACACCGCTTCCCAGCACCTGACATTACATTTCTCATTTATTAGCTGGATTTCCAATTAGAAGGGCTCATGGCTGAATACCTGCCTAAACAAAATGTGCTCTATCCATACAATGAAATATTATTCAGCCTGAAAATGAAAGGAGGTCCTGACACGTGAAACTTGAAGACGTGATGCTAAATGAAATAAACCAGATACAAGAAGCCAAAGGCCATGTAATTCCCCTTACAGGAGGTTCCCAGAGTAGTTAGATTTACAGAGACAGAAAGTGGAACGGAGGGTGCCAGGGGCCGGGGGGAGGGAGGAGAGGGGAGCTAGTGTTGAATGGGTGCCGAGTTTCAGTTTTGCAAAATGAAAAAGGCCTGGAGATGGAGGGTCATGATGGTTGAACAATGCGCGTGTGCTTAACGCCACCCGGCTGTACACTTAAAATGATTTAAATGGTCACTTGTATGTTATGAATATTTTACCACAGTGAAAATAGTGTCAGCTCCCACCCCCTGAAGTGTATGGTCTCCCTGCTCTGGAGGCTGGGCGTCTGGCATCAGGGTGCTGGCCGAGCCACACGCTGTCCCCGCAGCTCCAGGGGAGCCTTCCTCGCCTCCTCTACCCCCTGGAGTTGCCTGCACCCCTCGGTTTGTAGAGTCTTTGCTTAGTCACCGGGCCGCCTTCTCCCTGCATCTTCTCCCTGCGTCTTCACATTGTCTTTCCTCCGCGCATGTCTGCTCTGTGTCCAAATTTCCCTGTTTTAAAATGCCCTCATTTTAACTTAAGTACTTCTGTAAAGACCCTATGTCCAAATACGGTCACATTCCAAGCACTGGGGGTTAGAGCTTCGACATAACGTTTTTGGTACCCAATTCAACTCCTAACAGATGCCAATTAATATTTGCCGAATAAATGGATGGATTCAGACCTGGCTGTGCCTCAATAAATAAGAAAGAATTGCTAACACTGAGATCTTATCATAAGACAGACGCTGTTCATACTTAGCTCTTTCAGTCCTACAAATCCAAGAGGTAAGTGTTGCATTTATCAGTCATTCCATTTTATAGAAGAGGAAGTCGAGGCTCAGAGAGGTTAAGCCACTTGCCCAAGGTTGCACAGTCAGAGTAGCAGAGTTGGCCTTTGTGGATTGAGCTCTACTAAGCTTGCTGGAGGACCCTCTGTCTGCTGTCTCATTAAATAAATTCAATCCTCGCGACCGTTTTTGAAATAGATATTATTTCTCTCTCCTATTACAGATAGGAAGCTGAGGCGTAGAGAGGTTGAGCAACCTGTCCAAGCTCACACAGCTCCTTGAGTCAAGTCTCGGTCATGTTTGCATTCCCAGGGCCTTCCCGGGACCAGCACATTGTAGATGCTCAGAAAATGTTTGTTGTCTGTCTAAATTAATGAATGGATACAAGAGGAAGAGATGAGTGAAGGGGTCTTGGTTTGGGCTTCCCCAGAAGCAGATTCTGTGATAAAAGCGTTCAGGTTCAGGGAGTTTGTTGGGAAGTGATCCCAGGAAGTTCTGCAGGGAGAGAGGCAGGGAGGCAAGAAGGGAAGGCAGCCGACAGGTGTATCAGCGAGCAGGTTACCGCTGGGTCTTCTTGATATGAAGGGGGGTCATGTGATTCCTCCTGGCCAGTGGGTTCTGAGCAGACTTGACAGATATAATTTCCAGGCCTAATCGTTTTATTGCAGGTGTCAGACTTCCCAGGGCTCTCTCTTCCATTGCCCTTCCATTGCAGTGCTGCAAGTGGCAGAGCCTCCGTCGGCCTGGTTCTGTGACTGACGATGTGGACAAGAGCCCCCACTGGCCAGCACTGGGCAAGTGCCTCGTTGGGACGCCCAGAGCCCCTGCGCACGGTGAATTGTAAAGCCATTTCCTTGTCCGTCTCCCTCAGACTGAAGGCAGAGGCCGTGTCATTCTTGTTGCCCCCACAGAGTAGATGCTCAGTAAAAAGTGTTAAATTATTATCAGGGAGAGGTGGCACCTTTCTAGGCTCATCCCCCCGATGACAAGCCCACAAGTGAGCTACAGTCACCAACAAAAGGAAGGTGAACCTAAGATTGCATTAACAGAGATATAGAGCCTAGAAGGAGGGAGGTGATGAGCTGCTCCCCAAGTATTACTCAGGCCACACCTAGAGAACCACTATGTCACCTCTTCCCCAGGCAAGGACAGGATTGTGTAGAGGGGGAAAAAGTCTGAGCATCAGTCCAAGGGCTTAGGGATGTTCAGAAAAGGAGTGATGGGGGCAGTAGGGGAAACAGACTTCACTTGGTGTTTTAAAAAGATAACACTGTCTATGAGTTAAGGCTTCCTGGAAATCCAGTGGCCCGAGAGTGCAAGCAACTGGACACCCGCAGCATGAGGGCTGGAGCGAAGGGCCTCCAGACGGGGGAGCAGGAAACGTCGCTGCCCTGGAAACAGGAGACAGGGATCCGCCGGGGCCAGAGGCGCGACTGGTCGGAGGACAGGTGGGGCAGGGCGAGAATGGGGACTGGTCCCTTACGTCCCGCTGATGGCCCGGACGCTGGCCACCCGGTCCTGGAAGCCGTGAGCCCAGAGGCTCGGCAAGTCGTCGCCCACTATCATCTCCATCCTGCGGCCACCGAAAGCCGGGCTCTCAAACAGGTGGAGCTTGTGATCGGGCCCGTCTGGGGACAAGGCCGTGGCGTGAGCCCGCTGCTCCGGCCCGGGACAGGGGTCGGCAGGCCCCGGGGACGGGAGAGTGAAGTGCCGCCGATGGTGCCCGCCCCACGCCCCTGCCTGAGGGGGGTGCCGGGCATGCCTTCACCCCCGAACCCGCTGCCAGAGCCTGGACTTTCAATCCGAGGCGAGAACCTGCTTGCCGTGTGGACATGGACCTGCCGCTTAACCCCTGCGGCCTCAGTTTCTCCACCTGTCCAGTGGGGATTAGCATGGCACCAATCTCCTAGGGCAGTTGTAAGGATTCGGCGATAGAATGCAAGTTAAATATTAGGTGGTGTAATTATTATTGAAATTATACTGATTAAATCCCACCGCTCGGGCACTGCGCTGGGTGCTGGGCCGCGTCC